TAAATTAAATGAAAGACTGCTACCTTTCATTTAATTTAAGAAGAAAAAATCCTATATCTACCACTTTCTTGCATAAATAAATTCAAACAAAAACAGTCTTCAAATAACTGGTTTTGTGTGCAAATATAAGCTGCATGCTGCATGTTTCCATCTGCTCCCCAAACAGAATGATATATTTTGACAGCATGTATGTATAAATATATGCATACATTTATTAACATAGCTAGGATTTTTGACAAAATGTTGTCTGCCTTTGGTGAACTATTCTGAAAATATGTTCGTTTTCCTGTTGGTGCGGGTTGATGTTCGTACATTGACTCTACACTTCCTCTGCTGCCTGGGGAAAATTACATCAAATTTTTTTGTGACGGATCGCCACGCATACTCCACCACCCTGCGGACGCTGTGTAAATGCTTTCATTGATTACAATGGGTGCATTTTTGCTGCAGAGGTCGGAGCGTTGCGAAGCAGAGTGGACGCAGTTTAAATGGAAGATTAAAGGATACTTGGGCATTTGTTATTCAGGTGTCTAACTTTATGAGCCAACATCCACAGAGACAGGGTTTATTAAAAATAACTGTTCAGAGATGAGAAACAAACTGAAGCATTAGCAGGGCTACCATGCCTWCAAGGATCTCCACTCTTCTGGAAAAGCATTAGACAAACACCAATCAATACTCTGATTTCCAAAAACGATGAGAATTTCAGGCTATGTKGGAAAATGTGGTTGTACAGAGGGTTCACTGCTTTTCCACAATTACCTTAGAGGATAATTGTGTCTACGTTCATTACCTGAAGACCCATTCTCATWTTACAGCTGATAATATCATAAAAACCTTTGAGTTGTGTGTTTTCACATACAGCATATGACTTGTATCCTCKACTATGGGTGATTGGCTGGCCTGTATTTACTCAAAGGAGCAATGCCACAAGAATGTGGCCCGTCAGTACGAGGCCTACACCACGACAGGAAAGAAGAAGACAAACCCGGTCCACAAAACCACAGTGATGCCAGGGCAGAAAGCCACCCTCACTGGAAAAGCAGCTCTCAGGGTTGGAAGGCTGATTTTTGTAAGAGCCCAAGTTAACCTGAAGTTTGTGCTCTAGCAAGAGCACACAGTCCTACCAGCTCAATGAAACATGCAACCACTGTGGCACCACTGCACTGTGTGGCCTTTGCTCTAGATCCGTCCATAGGCCAACTTGGTAGAAGCAGCTCTTCAATGACAGGAGCAGCTGTCCACTTTGAAGCTGAACAACATATTGAGTACACTTCTGCATAGCCACGTTATGCCATCTGACACCTTCCCTTGAAGGCTAGAGAGCTGGCCAAACCTGCAAGCCATCCAGAAAGTTCTTTGGAACTTCCTGCTAGAGCTGTGGAATSACCATGAGCCTGCACGCAGCACATTAAACACATCCGTTTACACAGGTAAACCAACAAACAACAGTAAACAATGTCTCACCTGCTGTCCCCCTGAAGGCTGAAAATGGTCTGGTCCAGGCTGAAGGGTGACAGAGTGTGACTGGGGGTCAGGGAGGGTGAGTGAGTGGGGTGGTACGGTTCTGACAGGGGGGAGCTGGGTAAAGACTGGGACATCCTGAGGACAGACTGAAACACAGGAACACATGAGGAAATTATTACAGCATGTTGAAATCAAATGAACTGAACCAAACCTCCTGCGACTGTGTCAGAATGTTAGATATCTGAATGTTAATTCTCAATATGAGAAATTGACATTTTAAAATGTTATAGTGTAGTCACAATTTTAATTCACCTGTTTTATGTTAGAATGATGCTGAATTAAGTTTACAATAAATAAAAATGTATTAATAGATGCCCTTATTGTTGCTACAGTATTTATTCTAATTTGCTGATACATGAAAAAGCCTTAAACAGTCACAATAAAATGGGAGTACAAAACAACATTTTTACCAGTTAAATGTTTTTTCAAGGATTCAAAATTATTTAAGATTATGGCAATTTTTTAACAACTAAAAAAATTGCCATAATCTTAAACTTTTATTACCTCCGCCAAGGGCGAGGTAATGTTTTCGGTCGCGTACGTCTGTCATTCGTTCTGTCTGTGGACAACATTACTCAAAAACTTGTGGACGGATTGTCGTGACATTTTTACCACGTGGGTACTGGGCCAAGGAACACACCTTTAAATTTTGATGTTCTGGATCACGATGCGGACACAGAATTTTTTTATTTTAACACTCTGAGATCAGCAAAGCTGTGATGCTTTCACAGGGCTTCTGTAAAAAAAAGGAAGCACTTTATAAAGAGAGTCAAACCATTACAAACTCATACAAGGAGATAAAACAGACGTTTTACATGGTGAAATGTGACTGATGAAAACTTAGGAGCTTAATCCCACACCAGTTTGACCAMGAATAACGTCAGGTGATGAGTGTGACTTTTTTTTCCACATTAGACTCCACAGAGAAGAAATCCCGTGCATACTGCTGCTTAAATGTTCACTACGTCAGAACTTATTCAGAAAATGTGTTTCTATCTCTGCTTTTGCGCATTTACTCTATTGCAGGATGGGGGAATTGGTCTTGGCAGAGGTTTGCACTCTCTCAGTGCTTCTAGTTTTATTTATTATTTAGTTGTAACACTAATCTGTCATTTTGGAAGGTGAACCTTCAGTTCAGCCTGAGGTTCTGATAAAAGTGGCTGTGGTGCAGTGGTGGGACAGTCAATCTTGTGACCAGAAAGTCGCAAGTTAAATTCCCCACCATCCCCACATGTTGTGGTGTCCTTGAGGAATTGTCCTAATCCCTAACTACTCCCAAGGCGCTTACATACAAGCTTGCTTCTCCACTTGTGTGTAACACATGTGTTTGGCCAAATGCAGAACACAAACTGCATCGTTGCATGGGAATATGCATTGATGACGACACATAGCACTTTTTTTTACATACCTAAAATGACATTCTCATATAGTGAGAATTTTACACTGCCTGGCCCAAAAAGGTCACCACATTTAACTGAGCCAACAGGTAAGAGCCTCACATTGGATAGTTACTGACTGGGTGATTATATTTCAGCTGACAAGTTATTTAACCCCAACAGGTGCAATGAAGATCTTTTCATTTGTTAAACAACTATGTCCAAAGAGAGTGATGGGTGCATCAGGGTAAGAAGAGAGGCAGGTGAAGTGATGCACCCATCATGCCTAGCTTCTACTGTACAGCATGTGGGGACAGGGTCAGATCAGCTGACTACCTGAATATACTGACTGACCAGGATGTTCCATCAGTACTTTTTCTTCCCTGATGGCACAAATGTATTCCAAGAGGACAATGCCAGGATTCATCTGGCTCAAATTGTTAGAGTGGTTCAGGGAGAGACATCATTTTCACATCGGCCACCAGAGTCCAGACTATGTCAGTGACATGTTTTGCTTTTTTTTGACACTACTGAATGCATAGCATAGCTCCTGCGTGAGCACGTTGGTGTAACTATCATCCAGTAATATACAAACATGGTCCAGACCCCAATGAGAGTCTTTGGGATGTGCTGAAGAAGACAGTGGTCTGAATCTCCTGTCATTAATACAAGATCTTGGTGAAAAACTGATGCAAAGGTGGACAGAAATAAATATTATGACATTGCAGAAGCTTGTGGAAACAAGCAATGTCATAATATTTATTTCTACAGTTCTGAACAGTACGTTGCGTCGAGCACTGCGTGATTGGTCAGAGCCAGTCTTTACAATTGTTCCTGTAAAAATGCTAAATGAGGTAAAAAAAAAAAACTTGTGGAAGGTGATTAGACAATTTTGTGCATGCCAGCCAGATGTGACTGTGCTGACCGGGAGGGAGTGCACCACAGCACGGGGCCAGAAAACCCCTTATAGAGCCCCTGGGAGCTCACTTCATTCACCTTTGTCAGTGTGTACATTTCTTCAAGCACTAACGTGCAGAACACACAACTCACACCCTCCAACCAGKTCCTGTGTGTGAACAGATAAAGTTGGACTCCTTAGTAATTGCCCTCTGTGATTTATTTAAATTGTAATCTAGAATATTTGCGTAGCACTGGGACCCTGAAGCTAATTCCTTGTATGTGTAAATACTTGGCAGTAAACAAACGAGATTATTTTTTTGGAAAACATCCAAAATTTGGTCTCTCATGCCCTGCATGTGGTATTAATAGTAAATGGTAAATGAACTGTACTTATTTAAAATGTTTCTAGCCAATCAATATGCACTTTACACACAATCTGTGCCCTCATTTCTTTTTTTAGATTTTATTAGCCTTTATTGTCCCGCAGAGGGGAAATTAATTCTCTGCATTTTACCCATCACACATGTGAACACACATGTGGAGCAGTGGGCTGTCTATTACAGCGCCCGGGGTTAAGGGTCTTGCTCAAGGGGCCCAAAGTAGGGCTGGTTGGTTCGGGGGMTTGAGCCAGCAATCTTCCAGTCACAGACTCATCTTCTCTAACCTCTGTTCCACCATTCATGCAACGCTCTACTAAGCTAATCTGTATAAATCATTCTARAGAGACTAACCTGTGCGTTAAATCACATTCATACACTGATGGGACACACATCAACACTTCCACATGTGACTAAATAGTGGTGAAATTGAACCCCCAACTCTCTCAGTGGAGGACAACTCRCCTAAGCACTCAGCCACAGCAGAGATTCTCAAACCTCCGGGACACTGCACTGACAGGGGTGGGGTCACATGATTGTTTAACAAAATAAAATTCCAGAAATTCCAAAAAGTAGCAGGCATTACTGATGCTTGTTGCTGCGGCCGACTGTTGGACTTGTTTTTGTGTTACGTGAAGCACATTTCCAGGATGGACTGCATGAAGCAAGGTGTGGAGAGGAAGTCCACTCATTCTTCAGACAGAACATAACTAAGATGAATGGGCCTCATGCAAGAACATGTTCGTATTCTTATCCTACACTTCTCTTACTTTTGTTCGTACAAAGGGTTCGTACGAACATGTCACGTCAGATTCAACAAACTCTTCTATCTTCAGGAAAAGTGTGTAAATGAAGTCCACTCATTCTTCAGACAGAACATAACTAAGATGAATGGGCCTCATGCAAGAACATGTTCGTATTCTTATCCTACACTTCTCTTACTTTT